AAAGTGCTTCATTCAACCTCCTCCCAAAATTGAAAGTTGAATTTCTGGATGATGTAGGGGAATCAATAGAAGCCTGTTACCAGCAATCTACCACTACATTTAAAACCTCTTACTGCTGGCTATTTAGCCTGTGAGAAGGCACTTGGATTTGGGTTTTGCCTCACAGTCATATTTCTGTGTACAGCAGCATTGGCAAGTGCATAAGGAAAAAGTTATTGACACTCCTGCCTGTGCACATAATCCAAAATCAAAAGCCAAAAATTGTACAAAAATACAACCATTGTTCAAAAGATGACTTTAATTATTTTCCCACTCTGCACTCAAGCCAGGGGGCCCATCCAGCCAGCGTTTTTCCTTATTTCTGTGTCAAAAGGCCACTTGACGAATTGCTATTTCCCATCGTTGGAATGCCAGACCATCACAGGGTTACTCCCATAAAAAGGTCAAACTTCTTTACTTTCACCATGTAGTGCTACTTACGTTCCTTGCTCCAAAAGTAGGACGTCTTTCCATCCCAGTTTGGCCAGGTGGTAGGCAACGGAACAACCAATCACCCCCCCTCCACAAATAACCACTTGAGCTTCTTTAGGAAATGTGGAGTCAGATGCTAGGTGTCTAATGCTTGGATGGGTGTTAGAGTCATAACTGGAAGGATTAAATAATATCATGACCTCATAAATTGCACACCATGAAATAGTCAACTAAGCTATCTAACAAAATTTTCGACACTGATAATCATCAAGATATGTAAATTCCTAACTAGCACACTAAGCACTAAGTTAATCCATGTTACACTCACTTTAATCTCAGATAAAGAAATACCCTGGTATATAGTAGTTTGTCTTTCAAATTATCTTATGTTTCTCACCATGTGTAGAGGAACGGTTTGGGTAGAACCTCCTTTGTCTTGGATGGTAAAAAAGGACGACTGCATGACCTAAGCACTGCAAATCGCCACATTATGTTTCTGATTCTTATTTTTCAATGAATTTTTGTCTTCCAAGCTGTTTTTCTACAGTTCATTTCTAAATAAGAAAAAAAAAATGAAGAATAATCCACATAAGTCAATCAGCCTCTTAGAAATTAGCGGGGCCTTGTAATCACTAGCTTAGATTTTCAGGTGTCTGAACTTGAATTGGGCAGAAAACAGCAGTTACAAACACTTAATTAAATGCTACCTCTGAATAGATGCTACATCATAGAA